GAATTATGCTGGTTTCAATATTTTAGGAGTGATTGCTGGTATTTCTAAGTAACACAGTTTTTTCTTCTATGATATGGTTCATGTTGACATTCCTCTTCTTATCTTACAGATTTTGATTTTTAGTTCCTCCCTCCAGAGGAAGTTCAAGTTGTCTGCTGCAATGGTCAAGGGAAGCTGAAGGCAAGCGGCCGTGCCATCTCCATCCTGCCCTCCGCACAGGAGGCAGAGGCCCAGACCCAGCTCCTTGGAGACGGGGATACCAGAGGTTCTTTTTTTTGAGACAGAGTCTCACTGTGTTGCCCAGGCTAGAGTGCCGTGGCGTCAGCCTCGCTCACAGCAACCTCGAACTCCTGGGCTCAAGCGAGCCTCCTGCCTCAGCCTCCCAAGTAGCTGAGACTACAGGCATGCACCACCATGCCCGGCTAATTTTTTTCTATTTTTAGTAGAGACGGGGTCTCATTCTTGGTCAGGCTGGTCTCAAACTCCTGAGCTCAAACGATCCTCGGCCTCCCAGAGTGCTAGGATTACAGGTGTGAGCCACCAAGCCCAGCCTCTTTTTTTTTTTTTTTTAAGCAAAGCAAATTCTTTATTAAAACAGTTGATTTGAAACAGTATATTATATTTAAAGGAAAAGATTTTTAAAATCTGTACAGCAAATGTTTAAAGAAAGCAAATCATTGTGTATTATATGACTTGACACTGTTCCCTCTAGTCTTTTATCAATTTTCCCCAGTTCATAATCTTATTCACAGATTTAGATTAGACTGCTCCTTTGTGATTTACTCACTTCCTTAAAAGGTAGGGTCAAAAGCCCTTTTGGGAACTTTAAACCAAGTTGGTATCGAAATGCCTCAAATGACCTCTTCGCTTGTGTTGACTTGGGAGCTTAATTAAGTCCCTATCGGTGAGAAGGTTGCCTGTTTCTCCTCCTTATTGAACTTCATTCGCTATCTGTACAGGCCATAAAAGAAAGGAACAGTACTCTAAAGCATCTGTAATTACAATCTCTTTTGATCTTCCCTTCCAATAAGAAAACAAATTTCCATTTTCCCAGGAAGTTAGAAACCCCAATTAGCTTTCTTACAATTTACTGACCTAGAGATCACTAGCATTTAAATTCGCTAGCATTTAAAGTATAGTGATTAAATACTTCTTACTGAGTCTTTTATCAATTGCTCTAGTATATAAACTTGGTTAAGGTGCAGATTGCTTTCTGGTATAGCAAAATAACTTAAAATTTTAATCAGAACAATTCTTCATAGTTAAAGTCACTTTATGACAGGGACGTCGCAGATTTCTGCGTGGCCAGAAGCATTCTGGAATGCAGTCATGAAGAAGCAGAACTTGAATCACATGCATGTGGGAGTCAGAGGATCTTGGGGAATGAAAGGAAGGGAGAGTCAGGGAATTGGAGAAAGATCTAGAAAGTCCATCAGAAACACTGGAATAGTTCAACAAATGAGAGCTTGTGAGAAAATCCAAAAAGCCAAGCTGTCCAGCTGCCAAATTGGGACTGCCAGAGTCTAGGGGAGCTGTTGCTTCCATGTAACCATGGCCTCTGTGATCTATTGCCACATATCTGGGGGACGGCCTGGGACCACCATTCGTCACAGGCCAGCAGTCGTGAAGACAAGCTGAACGTGGAGGAAGAAAGCAAAGGCAAGCTGGGATCCACTGGACACCACTGTGTCTTGTCAATATGTCAAATCAAAGATGAAGGCCAGGCACGGTGGCTCACGCCTATAATCCTAGCACTCTGGGAGGCCGAGGCGGGAGGATCACTGGAGGTCAGGAGTTGGAAACCAGCCTGAGCAAGAGCGAGACCCTGTCTCTACTAAAAATAGAAAGAAATTAGCTGGACAACTAAAAATATATAGAAAAAACTAGCCGGGCATGGTGGCATGTGCCTGTAGTCCCAGCTACTTGGGAGGCTGAGGCAGGAGGATCGCTTGAGCCCAGGAGTCTGAGGTTGCTGTGAGCTAGGCTGACGCCACGGCACTCTAGCCTGGGCAACACAGTGAGACTCTGTCTCAACAAACAAAAAAAGAGCTAGTCAGGAAGGCTTTTAGTTTTGTTTCTCCAACATATGTTTTCGGTCCTCTAAACATCCCTCTATGGGATGTGGGGCACATTCTGTTGCAAGGAAGGAGAGCAGAGGGAAGTGGCCGGGGAGGGTCTGGGGCAAACACTGGGGACACACAGAGACCTCTGCGGAGCCTGTTCCTTGCAGCAATCCTGAGTGAGCAGTCGATGCACCGGTGAAATGTGACAGTGTCCTTGAATCGAGGTCACACAGCTAGTAAGCGCCAGGTCCCTGATCCCAGTCCAGCTATCCCAGAATCTGGGATCTTAGTTCTTTCCACAGTGTCCCGCTGCCTCTCAGGTTAATTTCTGAGAATTCATGTTTACTGTTAGCTGCTGTTATCTGTCCAAACATCACAGCTGTCTGGCCTCTCAAGTGTGCCCCAAGTGTATGTGCTGATGTTCAGTCCACTCTCAACCTTCCTTAGAGACTCCACATTGCATAATGTGTCTCCAGCCCGAGTTTCCTAGATGCTTAAATAACTTATCCTATGTTTAATTCTCCACCATAACTACTTAAGGCCTTATAGTATATATATATTTTAGAGATGGCGTCTTGTTCCGTTGCCCAGGCTGAAGTGCATCATAGCTCACTGCAGCCCTGAACTCCTGGGCTCAAGCGATCCTCCTGCCTCAGCATGCGGAGTGGCTGGGACTACAAGAGTGTGCCACCACGACCAGCAAGGCTTTCTAATATTTGAACATATACAATTTTAGGAGATAGAAAAGAATTAGGACATTTTGGGTCTCCTGGATGTATATCTCATTGGAATAGCGTTACCTTGTGAGGATTGGGAAATAAATTGAATTCCACCTCTCAGTTGTCAATGTTGTCATAAGTCAGTGTTGTCATTTTCCATAGAAGGTTTCTCCTGTCCCCAACAAGCCCTTTAAAAGGCTTTCATGTGTTTATCTCAATTTATGTTAAACCTATTTGAGATGAAAGCTAAAAAGTAAATAATAAGCACATGTGACACTATTAAACATGCAATAGTTGAAGGGCATGTTCAAGACAAAAAAATCAAACTTGTTTTCTGATCAACAGTCTATTTATTGATACTATTTTAACAAAGAAAATATTTCAAAGTACAAGGTATACATGCCAATAGTGCTTTGAACTTAAAAATTATTTGCTTTTAGAGTATACATGTATACATAAATGATAGACAATTATAGTGTATGTGTATTTACCCATAGATACTTAGTGAAAACGTGGTCATTGGTTATTAGTTCTACACTGTCACTGTGACATGCAAGGTAGTTGGATTACAGACTTTCAAATTATGGAACATTTAGAATTTGACATTTGGGTGGGATCACTCCTGGGCAGCACTCGAAATCATCCATAGTATGAAGGCTGTCAAAACTGTGTAAACTGTGGGAAGGCGCGAGTCTAGGTTTACATTCTGGCCAAAGATCTCCTTTCTTACACAGTGCACTGAATCTCCTTTCGAAGGAGGTTTCCAAGTCCTGCAGAGGCTAACTCGACTCCAACCGTCCCTCTACTAGCAGAAGTTGCTGCTCCGTCTGGCTCTCGGTAGCTCACTGTTCCCTTTCCCCTTGAGAGCTGGTGTGGTAATTGACAATCGCAATACAAACTCCAAAACAAGTCAAACTGACAATAAAATCCATACTTGCCTAAAATGAGTTTTGAAAGGATCTCGGTGGCTGTCTTGTTTGATCATAGAAAAATGAAGCTGGTGAGGAATGGTATTGAAGAAAGTTTTGTATTGGGTGGGGAAAGGTTGGTCACTGGCTTCTCTCCAAAGCCCTTTTTATTGTAAGATTCTGGGGATTCTAGGTGTCCTGTATAAATATACAGTCCAGGACACCCACAAGTATTTTAAACATGTGCTGCTTCTTTGTTGGAGAAGCCAAGTTAGCATCCTGTCCTGATAACACAGGATGTTGCATCACGCCTGGTCCCTGTGGTGCTGGTGGCCTGAGGATAATGAATGGAGGAGGTTACGGGGTGGCTGACATGGGGCAGCCAGGAAACCGCTAGGGCCTCCCACCTGGAACGACTGCCATCAAGAAATTCTGGAAAACCTCATTCCACAGTATAATTAGGCACGGTGACAGGTGACAGATCCAGGGAAATAGACTGTGGCCCCTGTCTCAAGGAGCTGACAGTCCGGTTGGAGAGGTAGGATAAACACCCCCAAATTAATCACATAAGGATTAAGTGCTCGGCCACATGGTACTGAGCACAAGTGAAATAAGGGTTTTAAGATGATGTGAGTGTCCAGAAAGGTTTTGTTCAAGAGGCAGGATTTGAAGTGAGCCTAGAGGACTAGACTGAGTGAGGATGGGCAGGGAGAAGAAGGCATTTCTGGGGGTATTGGGGAAAAGCTGGGAAAGGGGTAGACCTGGGTGGACGAGAGAACATGACGTGTGGGCTGGCGAGAGGCAGGCTCTGGCTCGTGGCAGGGAGGAGAAGAGCTGGCTTGAATGGAGCCCCGGGGAACAGCAACAAACAGCAGCCATCCGGGCAGGCACAATGGGGTCACACAGCTTCAAATGCCAGAAAGGAGGCTCTGAAAGCCAAACAGGGGTGATAGCAGTGGTGACAGCCACCAACAACCAGCATGGCTCTCTCAGACACGCCGGGCGTGAGGGCTGCAGGTGGGTTCCGGTGCAGACGCTGGCGGCGAGGCAGCCTGGTGAGGTCCAGCCCTCCACGCTGCTGCTGGCCAGCAGGCCCACAGGCCAGGGGCTTCCCGACACCTGCCTCGGAACACTCCCTGGAGGCTGCGGCTCTGCCGCCCAGCAAGCCTGCGGCTGCTCCCAGACAGCTGCTGTGTGGGGGAGGCGGCTGTGTGGACATCTGCCCAGATGTGGGATCACTGACATTGTGGTCGCAACCACGGTGGAATGCAGCTGGTCGGGGGAGAGAACAAAGACACTGTAGCCTCTGACCATTCTTAACATTTGGACTTTTAAAACCAACCTTCTAGCTTTAGTTACAATTTCATAATGCTTTAAATTTTAAATCTTTCATAATGCCTTAAATTTTCTAATCAAATTAACAATCCTTTGTATTAGATGCCATCCCCTTTTGAAATTATTTCAGTATCATTACAAAACATTTTTAACACCAGGTGCTTGTTGGTAAAATGGTCTCTCAGGTAGTCTTCTTTTGATGAGGATGTTGAGATTTTTTAACTTTCAGAATTTTTTTGTTTTTCTGATATTTTTTCCCTTTCTTTTGCTTTTTCTTTTGGCTGACCTGTGAGGAGAGAGGGGAGAAAAGGACAATGTTTCTGAATCTTACCATTTTTACTTCCCCTTTATTATATTCGGACCGTCTTGCCTGGGGTCTGTCTTTATCCCCAAAACCAGTATAGAGGTGCTTCACGCTCAGAGGGGATCCGGTTGGCGACTCTCTTGACTTTGCTGACTTGAACAGGAGGCAACATCCCCTCACTGGCGCCTTTGTCTATTCTCCCCACTTGTCACTACCCTCCCTAACCTTGCTTCCCACCCATCTGCCCCAAGTGCAGCCCTATGAGGCTGCTACTATTATGATCTCCTTTTTATCTATGAGGAGGCTAAGGCTTGGAGAGGGTGCCGGGCCTAAAGTCAGACAACGAGTGCGTGGAAGAACCACTAGCCTGTCAGCCTCCAGAACCCAATCTCCCAACCACAAACGCTGTGGCCCCCTTCACTCCCAGCTCCTCACTTAGCATGTCATGCTGGATTCTTCCCACTTGATCCTGGTCTACTTTTCTACCTCAATCCAATCCCTTCATGCCCTTTACTCAGACTCTAGGCACGTTCCTGAGGGCTCCCTGAACACAGCGAGCTCTCTCAGATGCTACTGTTTTTTGTCCTTCCTGGTCAATTACTTATCCTTTAAGACCCAAATCAAGTATCACCTGACAAGGGAAACTATCCTTAATACTTTCTCCCTCTCCTTCCTCACAGCAAAGCTAAGTACTCCTTCCTCTATAGTCTTCAAGATTCCTTGTACATACCTTTGTATTTCTCACAGTGTATCATAATTATTAGCACATGTGCTACAGAAGGAAGGGACTCTATCTCTACCTTTTTATACTCAGTGTCTACCATTCAATTTATTACATATTTATTGTACTGAATAAGAAAGACAAGCTCCTTTCAGCTAGATAAATGGGTCCAAAAAAAAAAATTAATAAAAATAAAGTAAAAAAAAAAAAAAAAAAAAAGGGGACAGACAAGTGACACTATGTGCAGGAATATAATTTTGTTCTAGGAACAAAATAGAAGCACAAGAATATGAATGAAAAACGTTATCTTTAAAAGAACACCACAGAATTGGCCGGGCGCGGTGGCTCACGCCTGTAATCCTAGCACTCTGGGAGGCCGAGGCGGGCGGATTGCTCAAGGTCAGGAGTTCAAAACCAGCCTGAGCGAGACCCCGTCTCTACCATAAAAATAGAAAGAAATTAATTGGCCAACTAATATATATAATATAAAAATCAGCCTGGCATGGTGGCTCGTGCCTGTAGTCCCAGCTACTTGGGAGGCTGAGGCAGGAGGATTGCTTGAGCCCAGGAGTTTGAGGTTGCTGTGAGCTAGGCTGACGCCATGGCACTCACTCTAGCCTAGGCAAGAAAGCGAGACTCTGTCTCAAAAAAAAAAAAAAAAGAACACCACAGAATCTTGTCTTCCAATGTTAATTTCTAAAAGAAAGAACATTTTGTTCGTCCTTTTTTTTTTACTTCCCATATGTGCTGTGTTCTTCCTTTTTACCAACCTACCTGTTTCTCCCACTCTTTCACCAATTCCTTCACCTCTGCTGAATCTGGGTTTAGACATGTTTGATATCCGTTCTTCATTGTAGCACTGCCAAGGAAATAGCAACAAGGTATTTTTCCCTTGTTTATAATTTAAATGCTCTTTTCCAGAAGTAATGAAAATCAGTATGAATTTTGCTGAATTTTTCTAATGAAATTACTTATAATAAAACATTTTCCTAGGACAAAGTGGACAAACTGGTTGAATTTTTAAACTACTTACAGCAGACACTTCAGGAATAGTTTAAATATTTTTTCCTTAATTTCTCTGTATAGTCTGAGAATAAGAGCAGCCACTTTATAAATCATCCTTGACTTAGGTATCAAGAGAGTTAAAATATGCATATCCTTTAACCTAGCAATTCTAATCTCTAGAAATGTGTTAACAGGAAAGAATTAAAGACACAATACTATCACAATAACAGTTTGATTTCAATAGCAAAATTTGGAAATAACCTACATTTCCAACAATAAGCATTGCTCATATAAATTGTGGTATATCCACATGATGGAATACAATTTGGCCATTAAAAATGACATTAGCAACAAACAACATTATTAGAGATTTACTGACATGAGAAAATGTTCATGATATAGTGTTAATGAAAAAGCAGATTACAGAACAGTATGTAGTGCATGATTTTATTTGTGTATACATATTATGTATATAAATAAATGCTTATATATTTTATATCTATATCTGCACACACAAAGCAAATGAGGGGATTTGGAAGACTATATACCAAAGGGTTAACAGTATTTGTCACTGGATGATAAGATTATAAATGGTTTTTATTTTCTTCTTTTGTTATCTGCCTTAATCATTTTCTAAAATAAACATGTTACTTTGCTAACATATCAGTCTTGGCTTCTAATCTATCATAAATTCTTTTTTTTTTTGAGAAAAAAAAGGAAAGGAGCAGCCCAAATTTATGGAGGAACTAATTATCTGAATTTTGTGTGCGAGCAAGCACTCTAAAGGTGAAATTCATACTAAATTTCATGTCCCTGCCAATATGGCACATGTGTGTTGGATGGATTTTTACTCACATGATTTCAGTTTTCTCGCAGGATGGGCTTGGGGCAAATTGTTTAAGGTCTTTCAAGGATTGTAGATGGATGGTCCCTTGGCCAGTGTTGATGCAAGAACAGCGTCTATTTCTCATTATTAGGGTTCCTAATGGAAAGAAAAAGAGAACACATCAGTACAGGACAATGTCTCAATTCAGGCGATCTATCAAAATGACATATTTGATTTAATCATGATTATTGCTATCACTTACTGAGTGCCTGTAAATAAATCATCACCACAAACTTTTGAAGTCAGTATTATCTCCATTTTATAGATAAGGAAGCTAAAGTTCAGATACACAATGTAAAGAACAAAGTCATACAGCTTTTAGGGGGCAGGGTTTCAGCTTCAGGTCTCTCAGAATCCAAAGGTGTTCTGAATTAACATACCTTATAACCTTAGGAGAAAAAGAGACTTTCACAAGATTTAACAAATGCCTATCACAGGTCAGACAAACAGATATTTAATTCATGTGTGCTATGCCGGTCAGTTTCTTAAGCAGCTCCCAAAGCCATTTATTACCTGACTTTAGGGAATAGAATTGGTGCTGGTGTTGGACAGAAAGCACTACTTTAATAATCAATTATCACTTCCATTCTCATCCTCCCTCCTCCCCTTGCCTTGCTTTTCAACAGTGTTTTAAACTTTTGAAAACCCTTTAAAATGTTATCTTTAATTTTTAGACTCACACAACATATATTTACTTAGTACTTACTATATGCTATACATTGTGTAGTAGGTAGAAAAGCATAACTACTAAGTTTCCAATTTACAGATGAGGAAATTGAGATCTAGAAAGGTTAAGTAATTTGCCCAAGGTAACAAGGTAGTTAGCAAACAGATTAGGGACAGACTCTCCGATTACCCTTGAGATTCTTAATTGCTTAAACACAGACATACTTAATTACAGACATACTTATCAAGAAAGAAGACATACTTATCAGGGAGAAGAAAATAATTTAGGAGACAGAGTGTTTCATCTCATTATCATGAAGTTTAACAAACATTTATTGAACTCTTACTAGGATTCACACACTTAAACTACAAAGACTTGTGTTTGACTTGGCAGATCCAAGTTACAAACTTTGGATAATCAACCATATCACTGAGAAGCTTTTATAAGTGACCAACATTACTTGCCAATGCATGCAGAACATTCACCTTTATCTGGTGAATAAAGAGGCTTTTACAGAAAGTGATTACTTCTCTGACTTTACTAACCTAATATAACTCAGAATCCCTTACCTTGAACTCCAATCAGAACCAGGAAGATGATGCCCAAGAGGAAAGAAATACCACTTTTCTTCATAGTGGTAGAATGGAGTTCTACTAAGTCACACCTGTGTTGAATCTCAAGGCTGAGAAATTCTTTAGAGAGTATGATTTTGGGAATATTTATTTAGGAAATCTATTTCCCTCCTAAACTCTGATTGGCTGGCATCCTTAGCTGATCTAGCAAAACTGACCACAAACTTGGTTGTGCTGGGGGAAACCCTACTCTCAAATCTGAGGGAATTTCTGAATGTTTTATTTCCTTTTCACATAAATGGGGAGTTTATAGTAAGGGATGTGAAACCAGCAGCACTGGTATCCTTCAGAACACTCACAGGTGCTAACCTGGGTGAAGAATAGGTTACATAAAGGAACATGCTAATGTCATTAGACAAAGGTTGGAGATGTGGTTTCCAGATGGGACATATCAAAATCCAGAAAAGCAATACACTTTTCAAATTCCCTTACTATTTATGGCATATCTTTTTGTATAACATATGGCTACATTTTTCTTATACTGCCCACCCAACAACTTAAAGCACCTTAATTTCTTCACGGACCAGGTCATTTTCTACTAGTGGTAAACTCATTTTGTGTCACTGCTGCCGCCATTTGTTTTTGGTTTTAAATTGTTAAGATTAGTTAAAATAGGGTTCAACTGAAAATAAGAGACCCTAATTTGCAGTTGACTAACAAAAACAGAAGTTTATTTCTCCCTGACAGAGGTCAGTGTATCAGTACTCAGACGGTAGCTCTTTCCCGTGAGATCTTCTAGGCTCCTCCTATCTTGTTGCTTTGCCACCATGTCTAGGTTGCTGTCCTCATGCACATGGCCAAAGGTGGCTTGCCATCATGTCTAATTTCCAAGTATAGGATGGTGAGAAGGCACAAAAAGGGCATGTCCCTCCTTTTAAGACCCATTCTAGAAGGTGGACCCATCATTTTCCATCACCTCCCATGGGGCAGATCTTAGTTACATGGCCACACCTACCTGCAAGGGAAGTTAAGAAGTGTGATCTTTATTCTGGTTGACCAGCTAAACATCGGAGAGTTCATTACTATAAAACAATGTTTCTTATGGATTCCCCCCCACTGCCCTGAAAAAAATTTAACTGAAATCTAAATTAATTTTCTCCCTAATGAGAGAAATTAAATACTAAGAAATAAGATTTTGTTGGATAGGGTTGAACTCTAGAAGGCCACTAATCATCGTACTAAGATATTTTTGCCCTCCAAGAACCAATTTTTGTTCCCCTTGGGAGTAAACAGGTATTAGCATTTTATGTCACATGATGCACATTTTTTGACTGGTTTCTATAAGCATTATTTTAATGCTCAAATAGGACACTACAGAATTATTTTTGGAGAAAACGTGTGGTGACCTTTGATACAGCTTATTCATTTGCTTATCCTTAATTTTGGTAATGACCGTGACCATGCATACGGTGGAGATAGGTCAGGTTCCAGCTTTTGCCACTTAATGATTGGGTTGCAAAATACTCGATTTCTGTGAGCTTTAGCTTGCTCAGTGAGAAAACTATCACCGACCTCACAGGTTGTTAATATTAACAGCAAGAAAACATCATCAACTGCAAAGCATCACAGAGCCAAGTGGCTATTCTTTCCAGCAAGGAAAGAAGGATGGAAACTCCTTAGGATAAAAAGTAAGGCCCACACAGTCTGCCGGGCCCACATCCCAGCCTCTTCTTGCATAGTTCGCTGCTCTCATCACCCTGTCCTCTACCAGGTCCTCAGAGGGACAAGGCTCCTTCCCATCGCACCGTTGCTGCCCACCCGTTTCCCTGCCTGAACACCGCTGTGCTTGCCCCGCATCTCCACCCTACCACTTAGTAGTCTCATTCACCTTGGTTACCCAGGAAGCATCACTTCCTGGGAGCACCTCTCTGGGATCAGGAGGGGGTCGGGCTCCGCCACCACCTGTTCTCATGGCACCGCGTGCCCCTCCTTGCTGACCCCGTATCCACGGCAAGGTCACATTTACCCGCGACCCTGTGGTCAGCTCTCCCTCCCGCAGGCGAGGACGTCCTGTGCGGGCCCACGTGCGAGCGCGGGCCGCGTGCTGGGGGCCAGGGGCGTGCGAGCGCGGAAGGCGCAGGGACGCTCCGAGCTCACCCCCAGGTCTCCCGGAAGCGCGGGCCAGCTGCGCGCCGCCACAGGCCCTGTGACCTCCCAGCGCCTGAACAGCGCGCGCGCGCACTGCGCATGCCCAGCCACGGGCTTCCAGAACCTTCTTCCTCCGGGACGTTACAGGCGGAGTTCACGACGCTCTTGGTGCCGCTGTGTGTCTCTGCCGCCCGCGCCGCTCTGGACGGAGTGGAGGAGAACTTCGAGGAGAAGGTAGTGTCGTCCCGGGCGTCTCTCCTGTCAGTCTCTCAGACCCGGCGCGGAGGCCGCGCTGAGGCGACGCCGCAAGTGGGGCCCGGCAGCCGGGACTGTGGCCGGGAGGCCCGGCTCACCGCGACAGGGGCCAAGAGAAAGGGGTGCTGGCAGGGTCAGTCGGGAGGCCCGTGGGGCCGGCTCCCATGGACCACCACAGAGGGGCTGATGGACCGGGAGGCCGTGGAGGCCTGGCCCGGTTGAGCGACGCTCTTCTTCCGTGTCGGGGTCCCTCCAAGTAGGCCCAGCCCGGGAAAGGAAGGCCTTGCGGGGCTGCAGCCCTCTGCCGAGGGCCGTGCAGACACATGCTTGCTAGGCCTCGTTCTGGAAGTTTGCAAACTCTGGGGAAAAGCGCGTCCTGCCTGGGCAGAGGGCATGAGAAAACGCCATCCGTGCGGTGTTTACGGCCACACGAGGCTTTTAGGAGAAAGGGAAACCTAGCGAAAGGGGGGTGCGTGTAGGCGTTTCCCACGGTGAGCTGGGAGAGGAGCCAAGGATGATCAAAGATGTTGCAATCAGCACTGTGTCCCAGTTCCGCTTTGGGCTGGAGTTTTAGCCTCTTGTGTATTGAAAAATTCCGGTTCTGTGCCCCCAAGGCACCGAGTGTTGATGTCAGCCTTGCAGAACTGGAGTCTTAGTTTTCACATGCGTTGCTCAGCCTCCTTTTTGTCTTTTTTGGTTATAGGATCAGTATGATCCGTTTAATTATGTATGGAGTGTGATTGAGCCTGTCACAGTGAAAGTAAGAGTCTTTTTACTTGTGAGAGGGGAAGTTTCTCTCATAATGAAACCCCCAGGCCTGCTTGGATTTCTCATGGTGTGGACTTCCCCTCCTCTCAGCAGCAGCTGCTGGCGTTGAAGGATGCTTACTTGAAAAGGGTTTATTTCTTGAAAGTCTCAGAAGCCCTGAGTTAACTTTCTGATTTTTCTTACCCCCTCTTCTCTCCCCATGCAGGAAGTCCCTCCTTCCTTCCAAAATATAATACGGCAAATTCACTGCAAGCCAATTATAGTGGGGGGAGGGGGAGGTTCATATCATGTTTGCATCTAAGGTCGCTAAGAGAAAATAATGAATTCTACCTTTGCTAACCTTACTACTAACTAGTCTCCTGGTTTATATTTCTCATGTAAAGCTTAAGGAGTAAGTTAGATTAGTGAATAAACTGTTTTGAGGCTGTCATTTAAAGGACAGCTGTGGCCAACTGTTGGCAGTAACATGACATTTTTGCTCTGTGACTTGAGGCAAATCAGTTTACAGTCTGATGATGACATGTGATCATAGTCATTAAGAAGCTGCTGAGCAGCCTAAAGAAACATTATCCTGACAAGGAGAAAAGATGATTATATTTTTACTTTAAAATTACTATATGTAAGTAATTTTACAAGAAGAAAATCCACATTCTTAAAGCCCTTCATTTACTGTTTATCATTCATTTCAGTTCATTCATCAAACTTCTGTTATGATTCTAGACTCCTAGGACACAAATATGAAAAATAATCTCTGCCCTCCAAGAGTTCACAGTTTAGTGGGAGAAAGCAAGATGTAGATTAACAATTAGTGTAGAAGTGTTATGATAAAGCCTTGTGCAGAAAAGTTGGAGTTGCAGAGAAATCCACAACCCTGGTTGGTGGGCTCAAACACAGTTGTTTAAGGTAGGTCTGAAAGGGAGAAATGGTTGGAATTTTTTACTAGAAGTCATTGGGGAAAGCTGTTCTGAGCAGGAGACATGAGAAGGTATGCCACTTTCAGAAACTGCAAGTATTTTGGCAAGGGTGGAGGACACAGTGAATAATGAAGGAGTGGTGAGAAATGACATGAAGAGATTTACACACGTATGCTTATATGTACCTTTGACCCTTGTCACCAAACAACTTTTAATCTTATTTTATATAAATATTTCCTTGTATCTACACAGATTATGTATTTTTTAAAATGTTTTAGTGACAATTCTTACTCTAGGCCAGGCATAGTGGCTCTTACCTGTAATCCTGGCACTTTGGGAGCCTGAGGTAGGAGGATCATTTGAGGCCAGGAGTTCAAGACAAGCTTGGCAACATAGCGATACCCTATCTTTACAAAAAATAAAACAATTAGCTAGGCATGGTGGTGCATGCATGTACACCTGTCCCAGCTACTTGGAGGCATAGGCAGGAGGACTGCTTGAGCCTAGGAGTTTAAAATTGCAGTGAACTATGATGTACTCTAACCTGGGCCATAGACAAGACCTATCTCCAAAAAAAAGTCTCTTACTCTAAAAACGTTCTGTTCTATTGTCTGAGGATCACTATCAGCCAAGATGGTTGTATAAACTGTATTTATTGTAGTTTGTATCAAAAAATAATAGTTCTTACCGTTTTTCGAATTATGAAACTGAATATACATTTTCAAGCTGCATTTACTGTGGGGCGCGGTGACAACGCCATTACAAGATGGCGCCGACTTCCGGTGGCCCGCCTGTAGTAAACAAGTTCAGCGCATGTGCAGAGTAAGTCCTGGCCTGTTCTATAAGTATGCATATGAAGGATCTTAGCTTGGCCTATCAGTAATAACCCTCGCTCGCTTTTAACCTATCCCCATCACTTCCCTCCTTCCTTAGAGTATATAAGTGTGTGAGAGCTTGTGCTCAGGGTCTTCCGCATCATGTAAGTCTAAAGGGAACCCCATTAAAGCACTGTCAGAAGAACTCCAGTTGCCGCGTCTTCCTTGCTGGCGAGGCGGGCGCGACAATTTACCTCTCATTTCAAGATTCAAATGTATTTCTCTTGTTAGGAATGATGGTAGTGCTCCCAGCTAAAAATTGTGCTCTAACATTTTCCACTCGTGTTATGTCCACCACTGTGGCTATGTTCTTTCTATCTTTTCTCCTCTAGTATTATGGTATTTATTAGACTTTGTAGTTAATATTCTCATGTCATTTGTGAAACTACATTTGTTGTTACCTCAATTATAAATTTTTATTTTGAATGATTTTGCCAGAAGTAGACATGATGTCATTACTCATACTTCTGTTTTTCAAGAAATATGTAATTCTAATTTTTTTAGTTTTTGTTTTTATATTCCAAAATGCACGTAGGGTGCTTCAGTGTCTGAGGATCGGAGACTTGGGATTTTAATGTTTCTGGTATTTCTATCCCAATCCATCAATCCATTCTTTCTCTCTAAGCTAAATAATTGCATTCCTTAGTCCCAGAGGTATATTGAGCTATTTTCAGAGTTCTGTGTCTGTGTATGGTTGAAATAATTGATTCTGTGATTCTTGCTCCCTGGCTAAGCTAAATTTCTGCATGCTTCTTAAAAAGTGTTTCACTTCAAGTTTCACTTCACTTTTACTTTGAGTAGATAACTACTTCAGATTCTGCTTCCTTTGTCAAATCTTCCTGAACACACCACAGCCCAAGGTCATCTCTCCCTTTTCTGAATAATTTTTACATTTATTTTGACATTTATAATGTCAAGTTTATTACCCAACTCCCTTTAGCATTCCTTTCATGTAATGATTAGTATCAGTAAGAATAGATGAGACACCATGGGTCCATATGCATTTCATTTATTTGTACTGACAACTGGTCATCAGGAGATACAACTGCTTGGCAAGACCTAAATTCATTGGTATGTATGCTAATATGCCTCCTTGTAACTATAATCTAGGATTCCTTTCTGGGTTATCCTTGTTCATCGCAAAGATGCCTTCCAGATTCCTCCAGAGCTTCTCCTAAGGTGGAGCTAGCTAGACTATTTATTGTTCCACCCCTTCTTATGGTTGGATTTGTTACTGTGATGGTTTTTCTTAATAAAACATGATAAACAAGATAAATGGTTCTATTATCTAGCCAATTTACAGTGGTACATTCATGGTTTAGTCTCAATTTTACTTTTTTTTTTTACTGTTGTTGATGTGTCCATTTGTTCACTTTGTATGTCAAATTTTATTTACATCATACATGGTGAACTTTCTGTTCATGTATGTATGGGGTCATGTAGTATGATCATGTCATAAATCTCGGTGAAAACGTCTTTTTCTGGGGAAATATGTGGACCACCATCATCAAAATGTTGCATCTGATCTAAGAATACTGGCCTCCCACATAGAAGGGAGATTGGGAAAGGGAAAAACGTTTGTAATCTTGTCTCTTAATTTTCTTTGTCACACCATACTTAGTTCACTGTTTCATATAGAGAGCTTGATAATTGCCCAGCACTGTTCTTCATCTCTGATCTAACTTCCCTAAGAAGATGTTTTGGTTTTTTTTTAAGTTATCTGTCTAGGCTTTTCTGTGTCTGAGCTAGGGTCCTGCATGAACCTTGTCTTTTGGCTTTTATAATTAAAATTGTTTTTAGGCCTGGCGCGGTGGCTCACACCTGTAATCCTAGCACTCTGGGAGGCCAAGGCGGGTGGATTGCTCAACAATAGCGAGACCCTGTCTCTACTATAAATAGAAATAAATTAATTGACCAACTAATGTATATAGAAAAAATTATCCAGGCATGGTGGTGCATGCCTGTAGTCCCAGCTACTCGGGAGGCTGAGGCAGGAGGATCGCTTCAGCCCAGGAGTTTGAGGTTGCTGTGAGCTAGGCTGACGCCATGGCATTCACTCTAGCCTGGGCAACAAAGTGAGATTCTGTCTCAAAAAAAAAAAAATTGTTTTTAATTTCTATCTGTGGAAGAGATAAGTAAACTTTGCCTACAGTATCTAGCAGTGATTGAAATTAAGTCAGTGTGACTTGTT